TTTCAGTTGGAGTCTCACTCTGTCACCCAGGCTGGATTGCAGTGGCATGCTCACGGCCACTGCGGCCTCAACCTGCTGGGCTCAGGTGATCCTCTGCCTCAGCTTTCCAAATAGCTGGAACCACAGGCATGCGCCAATACGCCTGGCTAATTTTTTGATTTATTGTAGAGACGTGGTCTCACCATGTTGCCCAGGCTGGTCTCAAATCCGTGGGCTCAGGCAATCCTCTCACCTTAGCCTCTCAAAGTGCTGGGATTTTAGGCGTGAGCCACTGTGCCCGGCCTGCTGTTTTTAAAAAAAGAAAAGAAACAAAGCTGATAAAATCAGTTTTATATTTCCTCCCCTTTTCAATTTCAAACAAAAGAATAAGAACAAATTAAGTTTGTTTCCAATTACATGGCCCCCAACTTTTGAATTTTTTCATTACTCTTATAGGTCCTCAGCACTGAAAAGATTTAGGAAAAAAAAAAAACCCACGAACTGGCACTGCTCAGCAATTCTTTTCCTTATTCCTAACTGATACCATCATCATTGTTTCTCAAACTGGGATACTTCATCATGGATATTTGAAGCCGTATGTAGACATGGCACAATCTTTCTGCAGAATAAATTTTACTTAAACATTAGAGGGGAAAAAAACCTGTTTATAAATACTAAAACAACCATGGATATCCTATAGAATAAAATGCAGATTTTGCATGAATTAACGGAACTCAAGCCTTTGCAGAGATCCTGGATTGGGCATAGCTGCTTCCAGCCAACACCCGTTGCTGGTGCAGGGAGCTAAAGGAGGCTGGGCAGCGGGACACGTTCAAGGATTCTCTGCACTGGCTGAGCCAGCCCCACACAGTTCCCCTCCAGTGCCACAGCCTCAAGTATTGGGTATCCACCTGGTCAACAAAGACACCTACTTCCTATTATCTTCATAGCTCACTTCTCTTCTGCTTTAAGATAGCTCTGGGTCAGGTTCAGAGTGGCTCGGTCTGTAATTCCAAGTGAATTGCCTGAGACCGCAGGTTCAAGACCAGCCCGGGCAACTTGGCGAGACCTCGTCTCTACAATAAAATACAACATTAGCCAGGAATGGTAGTGCACCTGTAGTTCCAGCTACTTGGAAGGCTGAGGCGGAAGGATAGCTGGAGTCCAGCAGGTCGACGCTAGGGTGACTGTGAGTGTGCCACTGCACTACAGCCTGGGCGACAGAGTGAGACACCAACTCGGGGTGGAAAAAAAAAAGATAGCTCTGTACCTTCCCTCTCTATCTTCTCTCTTATCCATCCTCCTATCTCTTTCCTCCCACTCCACCTCCACCTCCAGTCATGGAAAAAAACAAACAAAAATAAAGTCCTATTTCCCTTTAAAAATAACCATGTGTTCATTTTTCTTCTCCCTCAGGGACGTTCTTAAAAAAACAAATCAGTAACCTCTTGTCCTTCCTTCCTTAGTCCTTTCCTCTTATTCCTGGGACCACTGCAATATAACATCAGCAATATAACATCAGCAATATAACTGCAATATAACATCAGCAATATAACATCAGCGACCCTTCCACCTCAGCCTTCCAGGTAGCTGGAACCACAGACATGCACCACCACGTCCAGCTAATTTTTTAATTTATTGTAGAGACGAGGTCTTGTCAATTTGCCCAGGCTGGTCTCAAATGCCTGGGCTCAGGCAATCCTCTTACCTCCGCCTCCCAAAGTGCTGGAACTATAGGAGTGAGCCACCGTGCCTGGCTAGAATATACCTGATTTTTCTAAAAAATAAAGAACTCCTGCAAATCAGTAAGAAATAAGATTATCAGCTCTACAAAATAAAAGAACAAAAGATATGTATGTACATAGCTCATGAAACAGGGGGAAAGAAATGGCTGTTAGTTATAAGAAAAGATGTTTGACTTTATTCATAGTTAAAGCAATGCAAATCTCAACTTATGAGGGGATCATCTCCCACTAAACTCAACACAAGAGGAACCACTATAAATCCAGGGTCATTGTACAATGAGAAACCACTTTTCACCATCGGATCGGCAAAGACTTGCTGACACACTGTTCAGGTAAGAGGATAAGAAGACAGGCATTAACATTCTGTTGGTGGGAGTTTTGTACTTTCTATATAGGGCAACTTAGCATATTTATCAAAACTACAACTGCAACTATACTGAGATGCAGTAATTCCTCTTCTAGACTTTTATCCTACACATATACTCATATATCTGTAAAAGACAGGTATAAAATATTTATTGTATCATTGAATGCAATAACAAAAGACTGAAAACAATTATCAGCAGGGGACTGGATAAATAATGATACTCCTGTTCAATAAAATTCAATATAGTTTCCTACTGATAACACTGTATCTCGGGGATCAGTTCTTACGTGAAAAAAGCAGGTAAAGCAAATAAACAAAACAATGTACACAGCATGCTCATTTCATGTTAAAAAAAGGAAAAATCCATTTTTGTTTGCTAATACATTACATGTACACTGCCACCCTTTACTAGAAGAATAACAGGAAGCTAAGAAAGTGGTATTAGCTGCCTCAGAGTAAGAGACCTGAGTGGTTGGCAGATGGGGACAAGGAGCCTTTTCATTGTGCAAGCTTTTGTTGCTTCTGAATTTTGTTCTATTTGAATGTATTACCCATTCAAAAATGTAAAACAAGCCATATTTTAAGTTAATTCAATCAAAAGGACTTATAATAAAACATTTTTCTTATAAAAGTTTTCTGGATAATACCTTCTAAAATATCAAAAGAGGATGGGCTTGGTGGCTCAGCCTGTAATCTGGTGCTTTGGAAGGCCGAGGTGAGTGAATTGCCTGAGCCCGTGGGTTCGAGACCCACCTGGGCACCTTGGCGAGACCTCATCTCTACAACAAATCAAAAAATTAGCTGAGTGTGGTAGCACACGCCTGTAGTTCCAGCTACTTGGAAGGCTGAGGTGGAAGGATCGCCGGAGCCCAGCAGGCTGAGGTGGCCGGGAGCGGACACTGCACTCCAGTCTGGGTGACAGAGTGAGACTCCAACTCAAAAAAATAAAAAATAAAATAAAATAAAATATCAAAACAAAAATAATGAACTGTGAAAAACTCACAAGGAAACAGTTCAAAAATAACTAAAATATACAAGTTATAGACATAAATATTCTGTCATTAAAATTATTCCAAGACTGAAAAACTTATCTTGCAAAAGTCAAAATAGATTATAAAATGACAGAAAGAAAAAAAAAATCACTAATTCCATAAGACAGCAATTTCCAATGGAAACATCTTAGGCATTCTACCAAGAAAGTAAAAGGTCCCACCCCTACTTCAAAGTAGTTTCACTTTTATCTGATCAATATATTGAACTTTCTCACTAACTTCTATCTAAAGAAAGGCTTTAAAAATGAAAAGTAGCTGGGCTTGGTGGCTCAGCCTGTAATCCCAGCACTTTGGGAGGCTGAGGTGAGTGAAATGCCTGAGCCCGCGGGTTCGAGACCCGCCCAGGCAACCTAGTGATACCTCATCTTTACAATAAATCAAAAATTAGCCAGGCGTGGCAGCGCGTGCCTGTAGTTCCAGCTACTTGG